CCAACCAAATGGATTTTCACTGTTTGTTTGAACTGCTCTGTGCTAAATTTTTCACGTCCACACTGCCAAACCATCATCCTCATCATCCTCATCATCAAACATGATATGGAGCTCTAATCAAAACACTTGAATCCAGTAAAGTAAAACTAATGCTTGTTTTTCATTCAGAAGTGAGTTTTGAAAATTAAACCCGCCATGTTGGACATTTTATCTCTCTGAGTGAAGATCAGGTTGGTTGTGTTTAAGATCAGACCCTCAACAGCGAGTCGACCTGATCCTGACCTGTGGAGGTCGAAGGTCAGTGTTTAACACCACCGACCGATGGTCAACTCAGATTCCCTCGTTTGCCTCTGAATGTCACAAGATGTGTGATTATGCACACACACACACACACACACACACACACACACACACACACACACACACACACACACACACACACACACACACAGAGGTGAAGAAGTAGCAGACCAGGAATTTACCCTCCAGATTTGTTTTTCTCTCAATGTTTTGCTTTTTATATTATTTGCACATGGCAAAGAAAGGGTGGAGACACACACACAACACACACACACACACACACACACACACACACACACACACACACAACAAGCACACACACGTCCCTTCCCCATCTCCTTGTGAGGTATCGATCCCCATCTCCACCCCTCTTGACCTTCCACCTCTTTCAAACATTCAGTACTCGGTTTAACCTGAGCTGTCAAGTACTATAACCTAAGGATAGCTACAGCACACACAGGCGCACACACACACACAGGCGCACACACACACAGGCGCACACACACACACACACACACACACAAACACACACACACCTACACAGGAAGATATAATCAAACGACTGTTCTCAGGGCAACTTCTAAGTCCTGATTTTTGCCAAAATACCATAATATTGAATTGATCTTTGACCCCACAAACTGTCATGAGGCTGTTTTCTTAAAAGCAACAGAAGGCGACTTGCGGCTTCTGTAGATAAAAACATAATGGTCATTATATACTAATTAAAACAATAATTATTCATATTATATTACAGTATATCCTCCTAAATGTCATACACTGGACCTTTTTTAAAGCATGCATTGCATGTGAATCAGGACTACCCAGCATATCCGGTGTTTCCTTGGAGCAGTCGTGCCTGTTAGAGCTGCAATCATCAGTCAGTTAGTCGACTGAGAGAAAATTTGTTGCTATTGTCATTTTTTCAAGCAGAAATGTTAAATGTTAAATGCACTTTTGGAATTTTTTTTCTTTTAGTATTTTTCTTTATTTTATACTAAACAATTAATCAATTAATTGTGAAAATGAATCTGCACATTAATAGATAATTAAAGTAATTGTTAGTTGGAGCTTTAGTGCAGGTGCTGAATGCTATGTGACCGCAAGTTGCAATGACACACACATGATCGTTCAGGGCAGAGAAGGAAGGTCAGAAGCAAACTCAAACGACTAAAATGGTGGAAAGTTTTAAAGACAAACAGAGAACTTGTCCCTTCTACAATCCCCAAACTCTCCTGTCTGCAAGTTTAGTTAGTTAGTAATATCTTATACATACAGGGAGGATTCAGCTCTCATCTGCTGCCTAGTGGATATACTTTTTAATCCCCCAGATACGCACACGGTACCCTGACAAGTATATCAACAAAGCAGATACAAAATGTTGTATATAAACACAGATGGGAATGCATGCTGTGAGAGAGGAAGAGGTACAAAGGACAAATGGGTTGGAGAGAAGAGGAGAAGCTGAACTGGTAGGGAGATAGAGAAGAGATTGGTAAAATTTTAGAAGGAGAATAACTCCTCCTTCTCCAGTGGAGGAAATAGAGGGTGCAACTTCGGGTTAAAGAAGGTGTTGAAGAAATTAAAAGTTGACAGAAAGTTAGAAAAACAGAACTCATGAGAGTGAGTAGAAAGTAGAGGTGGAGGAAAGTCGTGAGAGAGAGGAAGGGAGAAAAGGAGCTTGTGAAACAGGGGGACGGGGATTTCAGTCTCCTTTGTGGAGTTTGTTTGTGTTGGCAGTGGTGTTAATGGGTTAATGTGCCTGAGAACGCTGGGACCAGTCTGAACAGTCTCACTGGGTTGGACCTCCAGGTCACACAGACGGACACGTTACCTGGAGCTCACAGGTCCGACGCCCACAGCAGCCCCCTGACCTGTCCAGATGTGCCTGAATATATGATGACAAGCTGAAGAGAAAAGAGGCAGAGATGGATAGAGGGAGAGAAAGAGAGAGGGCGGAGGGATTACTTTGTGTCATCTCTTGGTGTTGTTTGTTGGTCTTAATGGCCCTGGGAACACTTAAAGCACTTAAACCAGTCTGACCAATTTGACCTTCAGGTCATACAGGTTAAAAGCCTTCTGCTGACAGACAGCATAACACAGAGAGAGAGAGAGAGAGAGAGAGAGAGAGAGAGAGAGAGAGAGAGAGAGAAGGACAAAGAAGGGAGGCAAAGATGACGGGAAGAAACTGAGGGGAGACAGGAGAGGAGGGTTGAGGTGGAGACGAAGAGTGGAGGAAAGATAGAATTTACTATACATACAGTATATATTGTCAGCTGATTTTGGATTATTACAGATGACTTGGTATCTATATATATATATATATATATATATATATATATATATATATATATATATTCATAACAAGATGTTTCCTGCTGGACACAAAATGTCTCCTACTTTCAGTCCAGAAATATCCAACGTTATTTTCCAACTGTAAAATCTGTCACTTAAGTCTCTTAAATTACAAAGTCAAAGGGAGTAGTTCAATATTTTGGGAGTTAAGTGCTGGAACTATTTCTCTGCAGGAGCAGTGATTTACTGGCATCTTCGTCACTGTGAGGTTGCAGGCAACCAGTGGAGAGTAACTGCACCCAGGATGAAATGGTTCCAGCCTTTAACTCCCCATAAAACCACAAATCTGTTCTTACCGTTCAGATATATCGTGTTAATTAATACGTACGTGCTTGTTGACTATGTGCTGTAGTCAGTGTGGTGTGTTCTTGTGTGATTTGTTTTGTCTTTTACTGGGACACAGGCGGCGTGATCAATAATCAAATAAGCATATTCCCCAAAAAACTACTCCCTGTTTGTATTAGAAAATTAATATTGGCAGATTTGTCTTATTTTGTAAACTCTCAGTATTGATTTCACTACTGGCCTTAAAAAAAATCACCTGAGTTCTCGTGGTGATACCGATAGAGAGATGCATAAGAGGAGGCTGTAGGAGAAGGAACATGAAAAGGAGCAAGAAAAAGGGATGGCTGCTAGAGAGGGGAGAGGAGTGTATGAGAGGGAGAAGGAGGGAGAGAAGAAAAGAACGGAGAGAGGAGGTCATGCTGTCAGGGCGTCTGACAGAGTGTGGAGAAAGTCTCTGTCTGCTTTTTATCGTTTATCTTGTCCTCTGTCTGTGGGAGGGGAGGTGTCGTCGTCTCTCCTTTCATCTCCTCCCATCCATCTCGCCTCCTCCTGCCCTGTCTATCCTCAACTCGAGAGGCTCTCTCTTTGTTGTGGTGTGTGTGTGTGTGTGTGTGTGTGTGTGTGTGTGTGTGTGTGTGTGCGCATACGAGATGAAGGTCAGTGACGTTCTGACTATTTTAATAAATACATTTTTAAAAACGCGATGTTATAGTCAGAAACAAATACTTTGAAATACACACACTCACCTCACTTTCATTCATTGCACATACACTTTTTCCATTAGGATGGAGCACACACACACACACACACACACACACACACACACACACACACATACTTGGGGTTCAGTCACCTGTAACAGGCCGAGCTCAGGAACATCACGCCCCATTACACCACCACACCACTGTGTGTGTGTGTGTGTGTGTGTGTGTGTGTGTGACTGCATGAAGCCATTAGCTGTAATATATCCTTTCCTCTCCGTCTGTATTTGATCCCTGCTTTTCCTCTCCAGCTTGTTTGCTCTCTGTCTCTCTCTCTCCCTCTCTCTCCCTCTCTCTCCCTCTCTCTCTCTCTGTTGGTTTTAGGGTATTTGAAGGGAAGCTACAAGTCATCGCCCCTCTCTCGTGCTACATGTAATTTCAGCGTTGTGTGTGTCTGTGTGTGCACTTGCTTGGATGCGAGTTGAAGTTCTGGTCAGCGTTGTTAATCCTCTGTCCTCACCTTGCCTGGAGATGTTTAGCATAAGCACATCTGTGTGTGTGTGTGCGTGCGTGTACACATTAAGGGGTCTGGTTAGTATTGGGTTCGCTGTATCCTGTCGTGTCCACACCTAAAAAAATGCTGACTCTTTAAATTTGTGTGTGTGTGTGTGTTTCCTTATCCATCGTTCAACGTCTTTCTTTAAAGAGAACCAGATTAAAACCGGAACTTCTGTTTTAGAAGTAAGAAAACCTCATTTAAAATTACATTAACGTTTGTAATAACACAAATTACTCTAAAAGGGTAGTCGAGTGATCTAGTATTGCATTTCCAAACACTTGGTGCACTCACAAAAGACAAATTTAAAGGTCCAGTATAAGTATTAGTATGTTCAGTACAAACTAAATACGTCTCTGATTTGCCTCCAACTGGGGACCTTTGTGACATGTCAGTCCCCCTCTTTCGCTCTCTCATATCATTTCCTTTCATGTCTCTACTGAAGAAAAGTTGTAAAATGTCCAACAAATATCTGGGGAAAAAAAGTTTCTCTGCTTTTACTCAACAGGCTGATGGTTGTCAAATGTCAAGCTATGACGGGAAGGAGTGAACGTACTGTTTTAGACATCAGAGATTGCAACTCAAAACAGGAAAGATAGCGTGGTAAAGGAGGACGGTTTTACTTGTAATATACGTAGTGCCACGGATGAACTCATTAATTGTTTTTTAACTTCATTAAAACTTAGTGTGCTGTACTAGATACTAATTTCTCTTCAGTAATACGTTAGTGAAACAGCTGCTAGACAGGAACTGGAGACTTTCTGTTTTCATGTTAATGTGAACATGACTTTGTTCTCTCTCTTCAGGCGTTGGTTCCTCCACAGTCGTGGCGTTTTCGGCTTTCCTCAATGGCCGTTACCCCCCTGCTGACCTCACTGGAGACATCACTGTGTCCTACAGCTCGCCGACAGGTAAACACATGCACACACACACACAAGTTTAATACTGAGGTCCATGTGCGCTAGCTTAGTGCCAGTCGAAACTGTTATTTTAACAAGATGGGCACATTTTGGCAGCTGGGTTTTCCAGAAACATTGGTGGTAATACGTTTAGAATCAATCAAACTTGCTCTGCACCTGTTTGGCTGTAACAGTGTTGAGTGTTCTCTTGTTATTTTTTCTGTAAGAGCAGAGAACGATGCTGACTGACGCTCTTATGTAGAGCTATTTTCATTTTCTTCATACATTTAGCTCAGACAACTGTCAGTAACACCTGACATGGCACAAAAACATCAGAATTTTCATTTGTTTGTAAACTGAAATAACATAATTTACAGAGCTGGCGAATATCTAGAATTCAAAACACGTCTTTAAATGAAACCCAGGACTTTCTGTAACAGCATTAATGTAAGTTACATTTTAAATATAGTTGCAGTTTGAACTGTAACATCACATCCAGTGTTCTGTAACTGTGTCTGTACACCAGCTGCTAACGGGGCGCTCACTTGACGTAAGGACATCTGGGCTGTTTCCAGACAAGCCCAGTTCATCCCCCTGTTCCCTCCAGGCATCTGTTTCCAAGCCCTGCAATATTTCTGGAAGATATTACTTTCCCCTGCAAACCAACAAAACCACTCTTTATTTAAAATGTCACAGACGTCCTTTTTTTAAAATACTGATTTCAGCATTCGTTCAAAAAGCAGCTTGTTTTCATGCTATTGTTTCCCTTGGATTACATTTGCTTTGGCAGGCCTCTGTTGGTGGAACAGTTTCCCCTCCCCAGAAGCACATTTAATGTGAAATGTCTGGAAATATCGGGAAGTGTTTCTTTTTTGTTAGGCTTTATTGTGATGCTAAAAATAGCTGAAAATAAGGAGTATTTCAATGAGCCTTGTAAGCCAAGCAGCTGGGGTAGAGTATGTAAAGGGCTGATCTCGTGTTTTGGAAGGAACCTGTTGGACTGGAAGAAGAATTGGAGGAGGGTTATAAAAAGTTGGAGGAAGAAGAGGCACGCAAGGATGGAAAAAAGTGAACAGAGTTGAGGTAGGCTAGGAGTTAGGGGACGGCGGTAAGGAGGTGAACTCTGCCTGGGTGGAGGAGGAAAGGGAGAAAAGGTGGAGAGAAAGGAGGTACAGTATTTTATACCGCAGATTGAGAGAAATCCATTGATAAGTGAGGTCCAGCACTGATTTTGGGTGATAAGATCTCACTTGCAGTTTGCATACTTCCAACGTTCTTCCACAGCAAACTGGGAAAACCATTTCCTTATGGATCTGGCCTTGTGCATATGAACACTGTCATCCTGAAACAGGAAAAGGCCTTGACTGCAGCAAAGCAGCCAAGCCCAAACCTTTAAAAACAGCCCACAAATGATCATACTTTTGGCAGTTTATAGTGAACTGTGTGTATCTCTGGACTAATCTGAGATGTAGGTGGACATAAACAAGCTACCAGTAAATCTGCTGTACAGTGCATGTCAGGGATGTTACTTTTCATTTGCATTTGTGCAGCTTTTTCTAAAATATGTCCAGGATATTCTGTAAGGTCTGGTGAAATAAAAATATTAGAATATAAATCATCAAAATGCTGTTAAAACCACAGCTGCAACAATAAGTCCATTAACAGAAAAATACTATTTTCACAAGCAATTAATCATTAATCAATTTTTCATGCAGAAATGACAGAAATGCTGTTTTCAGCCTCTCAGATATGGAGATTTCCTGATTTTCTCTGTTTTACATCATTAACTGAATATCTTTATGTTTTAGACTGACAAAAGAAGACATTCATTTGGGTTATTCTATACATTAACAGTGTTGGGTATAGGACTGAAAATCTATAAGTGCTATTACTATTGAGAAACCTACTCAAGCAAAAGTAAAAAAAACGTACATGGTTAATAAAATACTCATTACATTTTAGTATTTTTTAAAGTGTGATTACTACTGTGGTTATAAGGTCACAAATTAGTATTACATTTGGTTACCTGCTTTCTAAAGTACACTAATTTAAAAGCCCAACAGACCACAAGCTACAAGTTAATTTCATTATCACAACATCAAATATCAACGTTACACACGAAAAATGAACATAGCCAGCGTTAGCTAACTACATTTTCACCTATAGTTGGTGAAACTTACTTCAATGTGCTTGCAGAGGTTAGAAGAGGACTTTTTAAAAGTGAAGATCTCAGCAGGTCTTCATTGATTCTGGTTTAAAAATGGCCACATGTGGTCAGGGATTATTACCGGAAGCTGCCTCTTATTTTTCATTCATCATTGCATCACGGTGGAAAGACAGGTGATGCTTATTTTTCTTCAGGGCAATTTGCAACTAGCAGTCAAGGTGCTCCTCGCACATTAAATCCCTGCATGTTACAAAGGTATAAATGGCAAATAAAGAACATGAGTAGCAAAAACTTTTTACTCGTGTGTGTGTTCGTAATCTGTTACTACCCACCCGAGTACATAAAGCACTCACACATTTCTGTTTTCCCGCTAATACACTCAGCAGTGATCCAACCATCATGTGGATCTGCTCTAAACTCTGGTGGTGAACTGCAAAGTGGTCATCTTAAGAGCGTGTGTGTGTGTGTGTGTGTGTGTGTGTGTGTGACTGTGTGGTTGTGTGTTCCTGCAGTGATAATCTCCATTAATGCCTCGTCTCCTCTCATCCTCTAAATGCTCTCCCGGTATGGGAGGAATGCATCACTTTGTCTCTATCTCTTTCTTTCTTTCTCCGCTCCCACCCAGGGGTGATGATTACGCCTTTACACCACCCGCCCCTACATAACACCATCCCACCCAGTGGCTACTGTGCCCGTCTTTAAGCCCTACAAAGGCTCTGACATTTAAGAAGACTGTTGACTCCTTAAGCCCTTCAAAGGAGGCGCGACGGTGGCTGTAGTCGTTACAATCTAGAAAGAATTTCATTAGTGCCTCTATGTGATTTTCCTAGCACCCTGACAATGGGCTTTACCCAAACACACTTAAGGGGGATCAAGTGGTCAAGTCGGCATTTACAGTACATTGTTAGCTCATATACAATGGGCATTTTCATCAGAGCAGTCAAAGATAAGTTGCGACTGTGCAGATAATTTCCATAAAGCACGGCCAGCCGTGATTCATTGGTTGCTAAGCCAGTGCGTGTGGAAACCTAGGGAGCTTGTTGGCAGTCATAATTGTTTTCTGCTGTTTTATTGAGCTTGCCAGAGTGACCAGCATCTCCATATGTTGATGTCTCCAGGAGGCTGCAGTATTTTTGTTAGGTCCTTCCTTGTTTAACTACATTGTCAGAAATCCATTTGCAAGGAACGAACTGTATGTAGGCCAGCTGATGTTGTTGATGTTGCCTCTGCCAAGCAGATCATGTTCTCAGCCCTGATGTTTTGTAATGTAGAACAAAAACTTAGTAACAGATTTGGTGGAAAGTTAGGCCACTGTCCAAGGAACAAGTGATTCGCTTTTGGTGCTGAATTTTTAAAAAGGATTTCATTTGAGCTTTTTTTCCTAATAAACTGCAGCACTTATTTGTACTGTATGAACAAAATATGGCACATGACTGGATTGCCTGGCATTTTTACACCCTGCGTGTCAGGTAGTTTTCACTTCAGTTGTTATGTTGTTATACATACATACTTAATAAAAACAGAAAAGCTTCCATTTATGTACTTATTCTTACATTTGTACACTAGGTTGAACTAAAGGATTGTTTGTAGCAATTAGTCATGATATTTTAAAAGACATTCTATAGTAGGGCTGGACTCAAACCTAGACCATCTGTTCTGGTTTTTACAAAAACACCACCCTCACCTGTACTTGGAGAAAGGACATAAATGCAGAGGTTTGAAAAATTAAACAGTTAGTTGACGACTGACGGAGGAAAATCCAACTGTAATGTGTTTGAAATTACACTGATTTGACGGAAAAGGGGGTCTAGGAAATTCTGAGATATTTTATTGTTAAGAATCTAAACCATTAGTTATAGCACTCCGATGTTTCTGTAGTTAATTATACAAAGGAGCACCTTCTCAACCTTCTCAGTTATTATTGAAGGCGTGCAGTCATGACATTCAGCAGATTTTTTTTTTTTCACCAGCTAATGGATCCAGAATTTCACTCATTTCAGTCTGTCTAATTTCTCCGCCGTTACAGGAGAGTCTAGAGCAGGAAAGACTGATTGAACACTGGCTGGCAGCGGGCCATGAGCGGCTACCGTGTGAGTGTGTGTGCTGCGAGTGCCTTCTTGCTCCATTTGACATGTCCTTTATGTTTAACTGGAGCTCTCACTCAGCATCGACGCTTTTAGTTCTTTCTCGCTTTTCTTTTTTTTATTTTCCCTCCCGTCCTCTTTGTGTTGTTCTAGCCTTTTTTTCCCTCATTTTCTCCCCTCCACTTCTGCTTTTGCTTTCTTTTCTTTGGCGGTGGAGAGTGGTGAGAAGAGGTTGAGACAAAGTAATGACAGAAGTTAATGCGTATTTTATTTTCATACTGATAAATATGAACACATTTGTTGGTATGTTCATTTTTAATCAGAGGCAGATCAGCCATAAAAGTCCCAGTGTGTCACTCTGGTTGAAAAATTTCTCGAATGTTATGACAGGTTTTATTTATTTTTCTGAAAAAAATTTGGAGCATTTCTTACAAAAAATCTAAAAAAACACGTAGAATAGGAAATACAATTAATCAACAATTTGGCCTCAAAAGTACATGAATTTAGTATGCAGATTTAATAGAATACTTGTTTTCTTTGGTTCTCAGTATTGTTAATCAAATACATGTTGTATATTTCACATGAAATAACAATTAAAAATATTTAAATAAAAGACAGAATTATGATGAGCGATGGAGGTAGAGTTATTGCAGGAAAGAGAGATGGCAGAAAAGAAGTGTGACTTTCATCAGCTTTAATAACATGTGAACTTTCTGACTCAGCACCTCAGTGCCTTTTCATTGGCCCGCAACCTGCCATCTGCTTCTCATTCACCTTCGCAGGAAATCCTCTTCGACCAATCAAATCAGAGTTTAATCTGCCAGACTTCTATTGCTGCAGCCTAAAGGTTAGAGAAGCAGGAGGCTGACTGTTTAAATCCCAGAGCAGCTGGGAAAACCTGGCAGCGAAGAGCAGGGATAAGAGATGCTCTCCCTTCCTGAAAAAACCCCCCCCAAAAAAACAAGTCCCTTTCGCAACGTCTTCTCGAGTGTTATTTTCATATTTCAGTTTTACTTCTCAGCCTTTGTTTGTGTTGCTTAGTTTGGCAGATTGCTAACAGCCCTTCAAATAGGAGACAAAAGCTGGTAAAAAGTCAAGTAAAACTTCATACACACAAAAACCCTCCATAATATAAAAAGAGTTTTAATTTTAACAGATTTTTAAATTTTTTAATGTAGGTATCTTCTCTTCCTTTAAATTACTTGAACTCTTGATACTCATCAATTTATAATAAATGGATATTTTTTTCCCTCCAGATTCTGTCAGACCAATTTTCATGCTAACCCCTTGACGAGTAGCTATTTAATTTTGGATTTGGACATCTTACCATATTCTAGATCGTTTTGGCTCGGTCGGGAGGCTGCGCTCTCCTCCAGCGGTACTTTCCAAGTGTGTGGGAAGGCGAACAAAGTACTCGCAGGGTGTTTTTTAAGTTTGTGTGTATCCATCTGCAGGGAGATGGAGGTTTTCCCAGGGAATCCCCTCCTCTTTGAACAACAGAGCCCAGTTATCCCAGTGCTGCTTTGTTACTGGTCTTCCCTGAATACAGCTAGATAGCAGGAGTGCTACCTCTCTCTGTTTCTGTTTCTGTGGTCTTTCTGAATTTTCTTTTTTAACCTTTTAACCTTTTGCTCTTCCTCTCTGCAGAGCTTAATCCCAAAGGTAAGCGTTCAGTTTGTAGTGCTGGATAGAATAGAGCCAGTAGATACACACACACACACACACACACACACACACACACACACACACACACACACACACACACACACACACACACACATTTATTAAAAAAATACAAGCATGTACACATATACATATATTTGCTGTATTTTGGGACATAGATTTCAGTATTCTCATACACACACATAATCAAAACTGCACTTTATGCATTCCAACGCGCGCACACACACACACACACACACACACACACACACACACACACACACACACACACACACACACATTACTGTATATACAGGAAGAGACCGCTGCCTACTGTTTATGTTCCTGTAACGTGATACTTGGCAAGAGTCTGTACACACAGACACACACACTTGTACACACATACACACTTCCTCACTGTATGGAATAAGTAAATATCCATTTTTATCCTTTTATACTCTGTGCAGTTTACACAGAAATATCATCTGTTTCACATACACACATACAGGCGTACGGAAACGCATTGACTCACATGTCTCAGCGCTGAAAGAGACACACACACACACACACACACACACACACACACACACACACACACACACGTATTCCAGCAGTAGTGTTCCTAGTCGTCAGCCAGTGTTTGTTTTAGTCCGTCTGAGTTTGTGTGCTTTGATACAGAATAGGATGTCCTGTAATCTATAGTGGGCTTAGAGGCCCTGCAGTAGTGTACACACACACACACACACACACACACACACACACACACACACGGAACTTGAAAAGTTGATTCCCAACTACGGTTCAGCTCGAAACGGGTGGAAACTCAGGCTGGTTTGCTAGATAGCACCGAGGTTCCAAGAATCTTGAATGGAAGCGGTTCAAGAACTAATTTGGTAGAAAGGGGGCCTGTGAAGCTCAGTGTGGTGGCTCGGGCCACTGTGAGCTGAGGGAGGTCAAATGAACGGCTAGCCACCTGTCACTCAGTGTCCATGCCCTTTATTAATATATATAGTATAATCAATATGGTTTAAGCAGCTGAGTTATATAAAAATTCACCCCCCTAATACAGATTTTAACATAGGGGTTTGTGGGGGATTGACTTGCTTTTGGAACCACCCTGAAGTGGTCGTTAGAGGAATTGCAGTTTTTTGGCATTCACGCGCTTGATACTAGCCTATGAGGGAAAAGAAAAGGCAGAAAAATGTAGAGTGACCGTACAGCCAGCTGATAACAATACGTTATTATATGTTAGTGTGGATCTTAATAATCATACCCACCATAGACACACAATAAAATAAATTAATCTGTATTTACAAAGCTGCAACAAAGACTTGTGAGCCTTGCAACAACTGAATGCACCCAGTGTTTTTTGAATATTAAGCCCTAAGACTTTATTCAAGTAACTTACAGATAGCTGCACTTTTAAAGTGTTTGACTCTTGTTAGCTTTTTGTTGGCTCATACCATTGCATTTGGTACAAGCAATCAATACACCATAGCACTGAACAATTCTTGTTTTGATTTATATGTTTAAATCTTATTAACTTAAAGTATTGTGTCAGAACTACGGCATTGTTGAAGTTTGGTATAGGAAAAGATCGCAGTCATTATTACGTAACAGAAATGTCACATTACTAAAATACTGTAAGACTGAGGCGTGAACTGTGGTCGTCTTGCGTCAAAGGATAACATTTATCCATTATCAGTCATCCAGAAATCCACACCTGGACTCTGTGGCTCTCAGTGGGGCCCTTTAATGCAAATCACTAATACAGAATAGCTGCACATGAACATGATTTGTCGAAGACTGGGCTGTGCTGTGTGTATCACAGAGGAAATGATAAAAAGACATGCACGCACAAAGACTGAGCTTGTGTGTATTACATGCAGTATCCAGACACACACACACACACACACACCACACACACACACACACACACACACACACACACACACACGTCTTTGATACACACATATTGGATCTTTCATGTATGTACACACACTCACACATGGCTGACATCACTGCAGCTGTGGTAAGAACCTGATCCTGTACAGTGGTCCTCTACTCAAATAAACTCTGTGGTCTCTCTCTCTCTTTTCCCCTCACACACACACACACACACACACACACACACACACACACACACACACACACACACACACACACAGATAATTGGAATCAGAGTCCTCTGAGACAGCAGTACAGTGGAGGTTCGGCAGCTTTAACAAGTAGCAGCCGTGGTCCTCAATTGTGATTTTAAGTGTGTTTAACAGTTGACAAAGCTTCATTTCCCACATCACCAGTAGTTCAAGCAACTATTAGGAGTTACTGCAGAGACCTAAAGTAACATGTCACATGTCACAGTATGTGACGTATCTGTGGATAAACTCCTTAAAAACTTAGAAACTTACACATCCCAGACTGCAGATTACAGAAGACTAAAGCTCAGGACAAGCAGTGAATAGAATGAAGAATCTGTAATACAAATATAGTAACCTCAGTTTACTGTAACTGAGAAGTGGTTTTAGTCAGTTACTCACTCTCTGGCTTCAGTCTCACTGAAACATCTCCTCAAACACAGACAGTCTGCTGTTTGTCTTTCCACTGTGTATTGTCATTCTTCATGTCATCAGACTGAAACTGTGACATTTGACGCAGGCGAGCGGTGCAACGTTTATTTATTTCCATGACAACGCAGAAAAAATAGTGATCCAGAATTTAAACTCGGCTCCTGTTTAGGTAACGTGACTCAGGGTAAGACTTCAGCAGATATAGAATACGTTTGAGTGGGTTGGAAATTGTAACAGTGTGGAGCCTGTTGCTGTTCACACTGATCAGACAAACATAAAATGAGTCACCGACGAGAGAAATACAACGACAACAGGGTCAGTGTTTGCTGTCTGATTAGCCTTGGAATTCATGAACTAATGCATGTATCACTCTAACTGGCCTTCCTGGATCGTATGTCATTTTCTTGGTACCTCTGGCAACATTTCCACACGCTCATCCGAATGTTAATTTAATCACAAACTTGCAGTAAATAAAATCTAATTGTGCATTCTGCAAATGACCACAATAAAAGGAAAATGTACCTCTCTTGGACCTTTTAATTCTCCTTCAACATAGATTTCTTATTTTTTCTTGACATTAGAAGTCAATTTTCTTTCCTTTTGAGACCTTGTCCAACTGGTTTACAATCTATAGTTTCTCAAAGTGTGTTTATTCACCTTCTGAGTCTGTCGGCTCTCTCGAGAAATAGAAATGTGAAGCCATTTGGTCCCAGTTTCAATTTAAGTGGAGTTAAAGTTGCTGTAAGTATTTACTGCCCTCTGCCTTTCCTTGATAAAACATTCAGGGATCCCCGAGGGTCAGTTTTGGCGACTATTAGTAATATAATACAGCAAAGAAAAAATAAAATGAGAATAAAGTTAAAATCAAAGGGGGGGGATTTTAGGCAGATGTGGTTTGTGGGTTCATATCAGGTTTTAGGTCAATACAGCAGGGACTTTACGTTTGCTAATACAGTAATACAGCTGTGTGGAGGTCCTTAACAGTCTCACATGCTTAAAGTTTTGTGTAATTGTAGTCTCTCACACACACACACACACACACACACACACACTGGTTGTGCAGGTAAATCTCTATATTGAGGGTGTAACCTGGCGACGACAGCCTGGGAATGTACAGAGGTGGAGTGGAACAAGACGAGATTTACAACCACGCACACACACACACACACACACACACACACACACACACACACACACACACACAGTGGTGACTAGTAAATGGCGATGTTGAATTTTAAATTGAAAAAATGTTTCCCCTGGTCTTTTCCAACCTTTCATGACCTCCACACCCTTTCTCTTCCTTAATTTCACCTTTCTATTCCTTCTTCTCTCTTCCAGCTCTCCTCTGTCTCTGTCATCTTATCATCTGTTTATATCTCATTTATCTCGTCTCTGTTTTCTCTCTGTTGTCTTTCCCCTCCCAGTGTCCTAGTGTCTCTGACATTTTATTTTGCTGCTTATATTTCCCCCCCACCATTTGTCTTGTTCTTTTTTCCCACCCATCATTAACACCAGAGGAAAAGAGTTTCTGGTTTTAATGTTAAATTCCTCAGAGCATCCTGATTCAACAACCTGAGTATGAACATTTTAGGGTCTTCATTACCCATAATCCTTGCAAAGTTACACGAGTGAATTAAATGCTGTGTTAGTACTTACTCTCTTAAGGGCTGAGATGGTGAAGAGGTTCAGTTTCAGTGTCACTCACGCTGCGGGTTTAGAGATTTCTATTTGCTTGTTTGTATTTCCCATCAGTGCATGGGTAGATATGAATCTACAACATTCTGTATTATCAATGAAGGCAGTGTCTTCTTAATCCTGAAATAGATCTATTTGTTTTATTGGGTTAGATCTATGGTGGGAGAAGGAAATTAAATCAATCAGTCAATAAAAATAATGCTGTTCCTTCCTGTGTACTTCTCGGTATGACTGAAGTACCCAGTCAGCTCTGTGCTGACACACCAATTATCAGTTATGCAGGAGGGGCTTTTAAAGGACCGTATCTGTTTCTGCCTATTTATCCATTCACTACATACCACGGACAGTATGCTTTACCTTAGTGTTGATCATTTTCCAAAGCTTACCAAAGTCTTTAAGGTTTTTTTAAAATGTTTTTTCCTTCCTTTCAGGCAGCCAGTGGTTTCATTCATTTCAGTATGTTATGAAATTCAACTTGGAGAGACTTGAAACCTGTTTGAGTCAGGCAATCCATCACAGTGTACATCATGTCTGCCCTGATTATTGTCAAAGTTTTTTTTAAAACGCAGTGGAGCAGCTTGAAATATGGCCACCAGAAATGTAAAGTATGTGTGTTACTGTAGTAAACAGGCGAAGAAACACTTAGAAATGATCCACTTGTTACTTAAAAACAACACACGGTTATTGTATGTATTTTAGTGTTACTTTTTTTTATTTTATTTTTTTTAGTTTACACTTCAGATTTTTACATTAAATAAACTTACTACATATTCGACAACATGTTTATGTAACCCTCTCTGTTGTGTTTGTTGAGTGTGATTTGTTGAGACGGGTCAGTTAGAAATGAAGCGAGAGAGGAGAAAAGAAAGTGGACCACAGTCTTTCTTCCCCGCTTGCCTTTCCTCTGTTCTCTGCTGTTTTCATTGGCTTCCCGTCTCCCCTGTTTCACTCTCTGCCTCAGTTCATGTATTCCAAACAAATTGAATTATTCACATAATCACATAATAATTGCATGTATGGAATGAAAAGGTGCACAGTAGTTGCAGGTAATTATTACTATCTGTAATAACCTGGAACATTCCATAATTAAACCGTCCCTCCCTCCCACCACGGCTGTCATTCCTCATATTATTTCTCTTTCGGTCCCTCTCTCACGCTGGTTTATTTCCACTCGACTCAGGTTTTCTCTCTCTCCTGACGTTAGCTCTCCTCCTCTCCGCTGCTTTACCTCGCTCCATCTCTTCCTAACAACTGTTTTCCTCCATCACTCCTTTCCCTCACTCTGTTATTCTAGCTAAGTGTAGGTTTTTGCCAAGCTCAGCACTGCTTAAGCTCAGGACAAAGTTATAGTTGGCCTTAACTCTCCTCCTCTCCCTTTTTTCTTTTTTTCTTCTCAAAATTTCCCCCCACTTTTCACAAAACTTCCTTTTCGGCTCTTCAACAAACACCTCTCCAGACCTGGTGTTGATGTTGAGTCTCTCGGTCTCGTAGCGCTCTGATACTCGTGTAATCTGAATATCTGCAGCAAATGTAAACCGGACTGCTGATTGGAGAAAGAGCCTAAAAAGCAATGTGCCGACCTCGTTTGATTCGCTGTGGGAGAGTTTGGCGGAGAAGGGAGCCACTCAAAGGGGTAGTGGGCTGTGGAGGTTGGAGAGTATTGTAAAATAATGCAGAGTTAATCAATTCTTATTACTGTTAGTAGTAGTATTTGCACCATTGGAAGTATCTGTAGAAAAAGCTTTATGTATGCGTGTTTGTATAAATCATTAACTTAAGATATTTTTAGTTTTTAACTTGCAAGCACACATTTAACCTTTGCAAAGGGACACCCTGCACAGGCGTCTGCAGCTCAGTGACTTTGGTCCAGAATGGAAAATACAAAGCACATAACTGTGGAGACCAAATGCAACATAAAAAGGAAACATTATTATGAAATGATTTTTCAATTTTGATATATTTTCTTTTTCTCAGGAGTTCCCAGGGTTCTTCAGTCCAAGTTCAGTCTTCCTCTGGCATTGGTCTGTGTTCAGTCTTCTCCAGCCAAAACCACCAAGTTTAAGATCACTGTGGACACCAACCAGCCACCAGTCGACCTCAACTCCATCTTCCCAGGTAAAACACACACACACAGTACACAGTACACAGTACACAGTACACAGTACACGGTACACAGTACATAAACAGCCAAACACAACACACAACTTACTGTTACAAACAAAGACAGCTGTGTGATGTTAGCAGTGTTGGTGTGAACTGAAACATGAATGTACACCTCTGATGTGTTCTATTGCTGCCGATGCAGCCAGCATGTTGATGAAGGTGGACCTGCAGGTCTCATGTGATTAGAGGGATTAACTGGATTACCCCAAAATCTCTGACTGCAGTTTATTGCAATTTCTGTGTACATTGCAGAGAAAAAAAAACAGTGAGAAAAGAACATATATTTCTTCTCCCCTTTTTTTAGATAGTGGATCAGTGTCATACAATGTTTTTTCATCAAACCTTTAAAATTAACATGCGGAAAATTAAACACAAATCTCTCTCGGCCCGAGCATGTCACCTGACCTGTAGTTTTGACTGATTTTCACCCAGGAGCTGCAGGTTCAATTCCTGGTGTGGGAAAAGAAATGGACCAAAAAGTGTATTCTAAACATTATAAATGAATCACATTAATCAGTGCTGGGGTTTAGCAGGTACGGTGGGTTATCTACTAATCGCAGGGCTGGCAGTTCGATCCCCAGCTCCTCTTATCCAAGTGTCAAAGTGTCCTTGAGCCAGAGACCAATTGGTTAGGCGTGTGTGTGAATGGATGAATGAAATGCAAGCGCTACATACAGTCCATTTACAAAGCCAGTCTGACGTACCATCAGTGATGTATTATGATACATGTCTGCTCAGTTCATCTGGGACTGATGGGACATGGTACAACTAATGTCACTTAAGAGCTGAGGACCAATGAAGTGCCAACCTGGGGCCGTTCCTCAACACCAAATGACTTGAGCACGAACAGAAAGCTAAGAGGAGTAATGACAGTGTAGCTGAGTATGCATTATTACGAGTAATCAACTGCTATGTATCTGTGTGTGTGTGTGTGTGTGTGTGTGTGTGTGTGTGTGTGTGTTTATGCATGTTTATTTATTTGTGATTCTGTGTATGTGTGTGTTTCAGCCTGTCTCTGTTCTGTTTCTCAGTTATCTGACAATCAGCTACAGTCAGCAGCTCTGACGTCTAAACACACACTCAGTTCTCATCCTGAGTGTGTGCCTTTTGTGTAAAGAGGGATCTGTGTAAACTCATGCCCGCGTACATTGTGTGCCTTTTGTGAAGAGTGCGACTGTATCTCATTCACCTTTGTTGGCGTCTTGCATCATGATATGCTGTCCTATCTGTCTCATCACACCGCTGTCTGTCTTTCTGTCTCTGCCTCTCTCTGCAGAGTTTTCAGCAAAATCGGAAGATAAGGATGGGAATAGTTTGGCTTTCCAGTTCCTGTCAGGAGCCAAGGTTACTGTGCTGGCCTCCAAGACCTCCCGTGAGTCTGACAACAGCACTACATGATGAAAACAGGATTTTCATAAGACGCTGGTTTACCTCCATGAAAACTGGTTTACATATAAATGTGGGAATTATCTGTCTCTAATACAGTACCAGTTCAGGGCTTTAAATCTTTTACCAACTGCCTTTCCCAAATGATCTATCTATCTATCTATCTATCTATCTATCTATCTATCTATCTATCTATCTATCTATCTATCTATCTATCTATCTATCTATCTATCTATCTATCTATCTATCTATCTATCTATCTATCTATCTATCTATCTATCTATCTCGGCTGATGTCTTTCTGTGCTTCTGAATAACTTTCTAAACATTTTGTTGTGCCTTTTGACAAATTTCTCACCAACTTTTGGTTCCTCTCTGTGATTCCTAAAGTACCTTTTTGATAACTTTTGATACATCTTGAATGTCCAAAGTCTTCATAAGTAGAAAGGCACTCAGAGAGCACAGACCTCTGCCAGTCTTATAGTCTACTCTTCCACTATATGCAAATCTGTAACCATTCATTCATTTTGATTGCGACAAGTTTGCGCAGGTCGTAAAATCTGGAAGCCACGATTAATCTGGAAAAATCCAATTTCTTACATACCTGCTGCTCTTGTTTCTACAGTGATGTTTGAGGTGGCTGGCATAAGTTTCCTTGGCCCATACTACACCCTTCTGAGACATCCCTTCCAACAAGTTTCATAAAGATCGGGCTTATAGTTTTCCCGTAACAGGCCCCTGTGTAAGTGCGTCTGTCTGTCTTTCAGAGCGTTACCGTATTCAGAGCGACAGTTTTGAGGACATGTGGTTGGTGGTGAAAGAGTTGGTGCAGAGATTCGACCGGAATTTCTCCAAACTGGGAGTGAAAGACTTCAAGAAAAGCTTCAGTGGACCGCTCCCGCTGCAGGAGTACTTCCTGTCTGTAGACCACCACTTCCAGGTACACACACACACACACACACACACACACACACACACACACACACACACACAGACACAGACACACAGATGATAAATTAGTAGTTAACATTAAATACAGTCAGCCCTGCCTACATGAGGAGATCGATATCTGATGCCTCAATGACCTTAAAAAAAAATACAGTTCAGAGTGAATAAAAATGTTGGTGTGTGTGTTTGTGTGTGTGTGTGTTAGCTCCGTGTCAGTGCTCAGCAGTACCAGGATCTGCTGTCAGAGCGGGCCGTCCAGTTCAGAGCCATCCAGCGCCGCCTGCTGACTCGATTCAAAGACAAAACCCCGGCCCCCCTGCAGAACCTGGACACGCTGCTGGATGCCACTTACAGCCAGGTCAGACAAACACACTGACACATACACACTCTCACTGCACACAGACACATACAAGCTCACTGCTCACTCTGCCGAGGGACGGAGTGCACACATGGGTAATGAAGAAGAGACCCAGGGTGGGAGGGGGGGGTTTGAAGGAACAGCTTGTCCGTTGTCACCCCAAGTGGTTTCTGGAAGTAGAACGTGTTTGTGGAAAGGAGCCAGTTGAGGTGATTCAGCATCTGATTAGGACGGCTCTGAGAGGGGAGCCAAGGGCAGAACATCCAGGAGGTGAGACATCCCATCTGGCCTGAACCCCCAGGGGGGACGCTGGAGGACATTGCTGAAGAGATGAAACTCCAGGGTCTGGCAACCTTACTAAGTCTGCTTAAAACCAGATAGAAATGTCATTTATTTAGTTGTCTAACTGTTGGAAGTAAAGTTTTAACCCTAGAGAGTAAGTCTTATTCACACACACATACACACACACACACACACACACACACACACACACACACACACACAAACATACACACAGCGATGACGTGTTATTGATTTACAGTGTGAGAGTTGTGTTCTGCTGATTTATGGACTTCCTCTCTTTAGGTGATTAACTGTGAGCTTAAACCCAGTGTGAACCAAAAAAACACACACACACACACACACACACACACACACACACACAATCACATTAGTTTAAACAGACACAACCTATTAGAGATACACTTGTATCCGCACGTCCATATGAAGGCACTCTCTCTCCCTCTTGTGCTCCGTGTCGTTGTGTGTGTGTGTGTGTGTGTGTGTGTGTGTGTGTGTGTGTGTGTGTGTGTGTGTGTGTGTGTGTGTGTCTGTATTTGAGGTCAGCATAAAGCTGATTTTAAAACAAAGCAGCCGTTAAACTTTTGTCTCACCCTTTGTTTAAGTTTGACGTATAGTAGGGTGGGACTGCGTTTAGTGTCTCGCTGATGTGTGTGTGTGAGTGTGTGTCAGAAACAAAGTGATGGTTCCTTGCCCTTGCTGTTTACTCTAGAGGCCGACTTGGCGGTCATCAGCTCCACCGTCCATTAGCTTCTCGTTAGCGTAGCGAGGCCGCGTGACATCATCTCTTCATTAGCTGTTAAAGCTGTCAGTACGTCACTGTTTGGCTCTGTGTGATCAGAGCCACTCTCTCTGTCCGGCACCGTGCGCTAACAATGCTTTAATTTGATGCACATTAACTTTCAGAGTTCAGAAACATTGTTGGAGTTTAATGAGAGGAAATTAATGAGCCTGTTGAGGTTCTTAATACTCCTCTAACCCAAATAAACAGTGTTCACTTGGTTGTCGCCAGGATAAGCCATCAGGGAGCCAGTTCTAAACTTGTCTGCCTTAAATGTTAATTTCCTCACTCTGTTTAATGTCTGCCGCCTTAACAGTTTAATCAGCGGCACTTATTGCAAACATACCTCCTCAGCTGTGTTTCTTTAGGCACCCAAGATAGAGATATAGAAAAAAAGAACAGTAATCAACAGGTAATTTGAATACATAGTTCTAACACTGTGTGGGTTATAACATGTATTCAGACCCTGCAGATAAGTCGCCATATTGAAGAGCAAAGAGAAACCACCGAGCCTATAAACAAATTCTAATCTATAGAGCTTTTTGGTGAATCTATTATTAAATGGGGCCAATTTCCACCCACTGACCACCTGTCTCACCTGACCTCTAAAGAGACACAGAGACACAATGGTAAGCTACGTGCATATGACTCCTGTACTGTCCCTGCTCAGCTGTTTGCATGCCTTAAAATAGCACGTATCTCCATGTGACCACAGCTCGACTTTGGTACCAGTTGGGTCTAATCTCAGGAACAATCCGCCGACACTATAAAGCAACAGAAAACACTGAAAGACTAAAACATAAATGAAACAAGCGGCTACCAATGTGTCCAAACCTTTAGTCCATTTTGGTGAATTCAGCTTAATCCTACACGTTCAAAACACAAATTTAGTTAAACCTGCCAGCCAGCCAATTAATCATTGGTTTTAGTGCTCACTATAAACTGATCACCACCTGTATCCAAAAGTTTTAATAGTTTTATAGTCATCACTTGGTCCGACCTAATATGAGCTTGCAAAAGGGAAGATGCCTAAAAAGCGACAGTAGAGATACAGTAGGGACGCCTGAGAGCGGCAGATGAATGAGAACCTCGGTTCTGTCTGCGTCTTTTGTACATCACTATAAAACTTTGTCTAGCCTCTCCCAACTTGCGTTTCTTCTCCCCGACGTGCAGTTTGAATTACCTGTCAAAATGCCACTGCCTCGCTCTGTCTGTTATCTAGCTCTGATATCATGACTCTGCCCCCTCAAGCTAATGCTTTCTGCTGTCACTCCTGTCCATCACCCTTTCTTTCTCTCTGCCTCCCTCTCTCTCCGTCTTCCCCTCTTCCCGCCATCCAGTGGCTCGCATGCGGGAAGTTTCTGACACACTATACACTCTGTAATGTATACACACCCGCCATAATGGAGGCTATCGACGGCTGGTCGGAAGAGTGATGAATGCGTCAAATTAATAATTCATGTCAGTATTAGGAGTCATGCTGCTGAGGCCAGGGCCAGCTCAGCAGTTTGCCTTCAGTAACAGGACGGATTTCACGATGGATACATCACATCTTCATTCTTAATAGGAAGTTGACAGGGGAGTTGGATGAGCCTAAAATCAAATATGCTTTTAATTTGATTATTTACTTGGTTTTTATTCTAGTTTAATTTATCTGTGTTGATTTTCTTTCCTTTCTTTTCTCAGTTAATTCACTCCTTTGATCAGGATTTCTACCTCTCCATATTTATTTATCTTTTCTTTTCCTTTCTTTCTTTTTACTTATCATCATTCATTTTCTTTTTAAAGGTATATGTAACATTTTCACATTAAAATGTCTGACATTATCTCAAATGTTTCCAACAGTGTTAAAATCCAAAGAAATCCGTTATTGTATTCTGGTAACTGCACATTTTCCTACTTGTCTCTAGTTAGCATGTTTAACACCTTGCTCAGAAGCACTTGATTTAGAAAGGCAGGACATTGTTCCTTCACTATTCCAACTGCAATTGTTTTTTCCATTTAATATAAGGCCTTGACATTGATAAAGGTTCCTGGTCAAGAACCTTCACCAGGTGAAACCTTAGAGGACTATTTATAAAGCAGAAATTTTTTCGGGTGTTTACCTCATGAAGCCGCGGCTCCATGCCAGCAATCACACTGTTGTTAGAATGGCAAAGGAATGTGTGGCCAATCAGGAATGCTGGTGAACCAGGCACCTCTTTCATTTCAGCTCAGAGGAATGTCTGCTGGGTAAATTTTCTGCATCAATCTTGGGTGATGGGGGGGGGGATTTCCCCCTCGTTAGCGGTGTGTGTGTGTCTCCACATGCAGCGGCCGGCCATCGCCGACGAGCCGTCAGAGATAAGAGGAACGAGCTCCCTGTGAGAATACTCTGTGGTCGGTTGTGCATTTATGCAGCGGAGGATAATATTTCCATTGTTCATGCTGCCTTTATGGGCCTATATTTTATTCATGAATTCCTGAGAGCAAGCGAGCCACGTCTGACTTCATGTGTGTATACGTGTAAGCGCAGGAAACGTTTTCATCTGCCGACCACAGCGGCTGGATTCCAAAATACACCCGATGTTTGAACTGTTTGACCAGGCGAATATGATTGATGAGTTTCAGAATAGAGTAAGACCCATGAATGATTGTTTGTTACGTGTCACAGAGGCTGGTAGAGAAGACAAACCACCTATGGACAAAATTCACCGAGTTTGTTTGGGCATTGGTGGTAATTTCCAGCTCTTTCTTGTCTTCTGTTTAGTCGGAGGTGTGTTTCTCCTCCACCTCCCTCCCCCGTCACTCCTTAAAAAGCCATCAGTCATCGCAGCCCCTGTGTTTTACACTCTCCCCTCTAACTGGTGTTTGATTAATCTGTGGCAACCAGAGGTTAGCCTGGCGCTAGTGCTCCTCGGCTAACCGACTCGCTAACCTCTCAGATTTAAGGGAAAACTCAGGACTGTCACTCAAAGAAATAAAAACTAGAAGGAGTTTGTGGAAACGGATGAAGAGAGGCCAGAGGGGGCAGAACAAATCGAGGGAGGCTTTTCAGTTTCCATAAATATTTTCCTCGCTGCCGTTTCCTCTGGAGGTGAAACGTCCGTCGTTTGTTAGTATTAGCATTAGCGCTGGGCTAGCAAACGCTGACGTTGGGGAGGTGGCGGGGGGGGAGAGCTCGGGAGCCGGGCCGGGCCGAGCCAAGCTGAGCCTCCCTGTAATTATGAGTTCAAACGCTGGAAGAGGGCGGCTCGCTGACTGACGGGGTGACTGACGGGCCTTCCAGGGGCCTCGCAGGGCCCCTAATGGAGGCTTCTGGTGGACAGCAGCTTGATTTATCTGGCCCCAAATGGAGCTCTAAACATGGCTAAACACAGATCTCACTGTGGAGCGCAGGACCACCGCCATTAACAGCCGGGCCTCTCACTCCCTGTGTCTATGTGTGTCTATCTAGGAGTGCATGAGGAAGTGTGCATTTCAAGCGTATATACATATATAAATATATAAATATATAAATGTAAATGTACTCATGTGTCATGTGTGTTCTCATTCCTGAATATGTGTGTATTAACGTGTATAATAATTCACTAGATGTTACTGAGTTGTGATGAAACAGGCATGTTGTGGACCTCAGTGTCTGTATTCATTTACAGTGTGTGTGTGTGTGTGTGTGTGTGTGTGTGTGTGTGTGTGTGTGTGTGTGTGTGTGTGTGTGTGTGTGTGTGTGTGTGTGTGTAAGTGGAAGCATTTTAACAGGTTATGTACGCATGTTTCTGTCCCTGTGTAAGCATGTGCACTGCGCGTTAAAGAAATTGGACCAAATCCAAAACAGCCTTATGGAAAAATACTTGCAGCAAAAGCGGATTTTCAGTTAAGAACTGATTTGAGAACAGTCCAAATAGACCCAGGGATATGAACCAATGAACCATGGTCGAAA